GAGTGACCTCCGACGCCGCAAAGTTGACCCTATTTCCCTTCTCATTACGGGATAGGGCATCTTTGTGGCTGAATAGCTTTCCAACGGGTCACTTCACAACATGGGCGACACTGCACCAAGCATTCATGCAAGAATACTTTCCTCCATCAGCAGTTGCTAAAATTAAAACAGCAATTCAAAATTTTAGACAATTCCCGATGGAGTCCTTAAGTGAAGCATGGGATCGTTTCAAGGATATGAGAAACAAATGTCCACTCACACTGATGGATTCTAGTAGCTTGATGTTCCATTTTTATAATGGACTTCAAGTTAGTAGCAAAAAAGAACTTGATTTCTCTTCTCAGGTGGGATCATTCCTTGACATGGCGCCCAACACCAACGAAGCTCTGGTGGAGAAGGTCACTTCAAATGCAAGATACTGGTATGACGAAAGAACTCCAGCAGCAACAAAACCAGGCTATCTTGAAGTTGACCAACTCACGGCCCTAACAGCGAAGATTGAAGGGTTGGTCGTGGAAGTAAAGAATCTGAAGAATGAAAACAATCACACCAACCAAGTCAACAACATCGGTGCTGTCCCAAATCAACAATCATCCCGATACTTCGGGAACTCAAGCTCTGCTCCACAGTCATCTCAATTTAATACTTTTTCACCTGTTTCTCATTCAACTGAACTTGTACTCTCATGTGAGATATGTTTTGGTCCACATTTGACCAACTCATGTCAATTAGTCGATGAATGTAATGTAAACAACAACAGGGAAGTGAACATGCTGGAGTACGGCCGAACAAAACAAGAAGGGCCATGGGCGAATCAAGGCAACCGGGGGGGTAACTCCAACTACCCTCCTCAGAATTTTCAAGGAAGGAATTACCAAGGTAACCAATGGCGGGGGGATTACAACAATGGTCCTCCTCGCGGCGGTTATCAAGGTAATCAAAATTACTCCAACAACAATCAAGGCAACAACTTCCAAGGTCGTAACCAGGGAGGTGCATCAAGCCAACAAAACAACCAAGCTTATGTGCCTCCACACCAACGACAAACGGAGGCTGCCCAGCCATCAGAGATAGGCTTGCTGGTAGCAGAACTGGCAAGGACACGGGAGGAAATAACAAGATACAAGGCCAGCACTGACAATCAGATCAAAAATCTGATGATGCAAATTAATCAGAACAATGTTCCCGGTCGTCAGCCAGGCAACTTGCCTAGCACCACGGAACCAAACCCCCGTGAACATGTGCAAGCCATCACTCTCCGAAGTGGGAAACAGACGAAAGAAGTCGATCAGAAAGACAAAGATGATACTCTGATCATAGAACCTGAGCAACAAACTGATGCTCCAACTGAGAAGAGCATGGAACCAACACGCCCTAACACAAAGGTCACTATCGTCAAACCTTCTCTCCCGTTTCCTTCACGGGTTAGAAATGATGACGATAGCAGGAAGTACAACAAATTCCTGGACCTACTCAAACAACTCCACGTCAACCTGCCGCTGATGGATGCCTTAGCGGAGATGCCCAAATATGCCAAGTTTTTCAAAGACTTGCTGACAAACAAAAGGCAGCTGCAGGAGCTCTCAGTCGTGGACTTGAACGCAGAATGCTCGGCCGTGGTTCTAAGGTCAATACCCGAAAAGCTAAAGGATCCAGGTAGTTTCACTATCCCTTGCTCTATAGACAATTTCAATTTTAATAATGCTCTAGCTGACCTAGGGGCAAGTATCAATCTGATGCCTTCCTCTATAGTCGAAAAGCTAGGACTTGGGGAAATGAAACCTACCAGGATGTGTCTTCAACTGGCTGATCGCTCAGTCAAATATCTGAAAGGAATTGTTGAAGACGTCTTGGTCAAGGTTGACAAATTCATTTTCCCAGTCGACTTTGTAGTAATGGACATGGAAGAGGATAGGGAAACACCTCTTATTCTGGGAAGGCCCTTTCTGGCTACCGCCAGGGCCTTGATTGATGTCACTGATGGCTCATTAACTCTAAGAGTCGGAGATGATCTATGCACCTTCCGACTCTCAGATGTTATGAAACACCCCACAGATTCCTTTCAAGGATGTCATTTTCTTGATACCTTTGAGTCTATTGAAGGGTATCTGTTTGGGGAAGAAAATGGACATATAACTGATGAAGCATGTCTGTTAAAAAAGGCCAACAGTGATGTGAGTGATGCATGTGAGAGTTGTGAGGATGCGCTGATTGATCAAGCTTCTAACGAAGTATTGACTGAGTTTGAGGGGGAGAAAAATGAACAAAACTTGAAAAACGACCACCCCCTCGAACTAAAGAAACTGCCCGACCACTTAGAATATGCATTCTTGGATGACGAAGGCAAATGCCCTGTCGTCATCGCCGCACACTTAAGTGAGGAACAAAGGGAGAAATTACTTGGAGTCCTTAAGACACACAAGCAAGCAATTGCTTGGAAACTTGAGGACATCAATGGAATTAGCCCCACCTTTTGTACCCACACCATCAAAATTGAGGAAGGGTTTAAACCAGTTGTCCAACCACAACGACGTTTAAACCCAAACATGATGGAAGTAGTGCGTGCCGAGATTGTCAAACTGCTGGATGCGGGTATCATTTACCCCATCTCTGATAGCCAGTGGGTAAGCCCTATTCATGTTGTCCCCAAAAAGGGGGGAATGACCGTCATGAAAAATGAAAAGGGCGAACTTCTACCCAGTCGAACTGTTACCGGGTGGCGAATGGTAATCGATTACCGCAAACTGAACGAAGCCACCCGGAAAGACCATTTTCCCCTTCCCTTCATCGATCAATTAATAGAGAGGTTGGCAGGCCATAGTCACTACTGTTTCCTGGATGGCATGAGTGGATACTTCCAAATCCATGTCAACCCGGAAGACCAAGACAAAACTACGTTTACATGCCCTTTTGGGACCTTTGCTTTTCGTAGGATGTCTTTTGGTCTCTGTAATGCCCCTGCCACCTTCATGAGGTGCATGATTGCCATTTTTGAAAAATACATTGGCCACTTCATGGAGGTATTCATGGATGACTTCTCTATTTTTGGGGAAACATTTGAAAAATGCCTTGAAAACCTGGAAAAAGTACTTATCCGCTGCAAGGAAACCCATTTAGCCCTAAGTTGGGAGAAATGTCACTTCCTTGTGAAAGAGGGTATAGTACTTGGACATAAAGTGTCAAGTAACGGGGTAGAGGTGGACCGTGCAAAAATTGAGACAATAGAGAAACTTCCTCCACCAACCACGGTAAAAGCCATCCGCAGCTTCTTAGGACACGCGGGCTTTTATCGTCGTTTTATAAAGGATTTCTCTAAAATCGCAAAACCTCTCACTCGGTTACTTGAAAAAGATGCGGTTTTTATATTCTCTGATGAATGTCACCATGCTTTCCAAGCACTTAAAACACAACTGATCAATGCACCTGTGCTTGTGGCCCCAGATTGGAGCTTACCCTTTGAACTCATGTGTGACGCTAGTGACTTAGTAGTGGGGGCCATCCTTGGTCAAAGGAAGGACAAGAACTTCCACCCAATCTACTACGCTAGCAAAACTCTGTCAGGGCCACAACTCAACTACACCACCACTGAAAAAGAATTCCTTGCTATTGTTTGTGCTTTAGAGAAGTTTAGGACTTACATCATTCTTTCGAAGGTTATTATCTATACCGACCATTCGGCCATTAGATATCTCCTCCAAAAGCATGATGCTAAGCCTAGACTGTTACGCTGGGTTCTTTTGTTGCAGGAATTTGATATTGAAATCAGGGACCGAAAAGGGTCTGCTAATCAGGCAGCTGATCACCTCTCGAGGTTAGATGCCGAGTTAGCAGAAACTTTCGGAAAATGCGAAATTGAGGAGCTTTTTCCTGCTGAGAGATTGATGGCGATTTCCGCCAAGGAGCAAACACCGTGGTATGCCGACATTGCCAACTACCTTGTTGGTAAAGTCGAGCCTACCGAACTGACAAGGCACATGAAAAGGCGGTTCCTATCAGAAGCAAAGCACTATTTTTGGGATGATCCATATCTATTCCGAATTTGTGCTGACCAGGTGGTGAGAAGATGTGTTACTGAAGCTGAGGCAAGGGACATTCTAGAGCATTGTCACAGCGGTCCTACTGGGGGCCACTTTTCAGGGAATAGAACCGCAAGGCGGGTTTTGGACTGTGGGTACTTCTGGCCCACGATTTTTAAAGATGCTAATGAATTTGTTTCCTCTTGTGATAACTGTCAACGAATCGGGAACATTTCTGGGCGCAATGAGATGCCCCAACACTTTATCTTACCTTGTGAGGTATTTGATGTTTGGGGCATCGACTTTGTTGGACCTTTCCCAAGCTCAAGAGGAAACAAATACATTCTTGTGGCCATTGATTATGTTTCTAAATGGGTCGAAGCCCAGGCCTGTGTCACCAACGACTCTCGAGTAGTCGTGAATTTTCTGAAAAAGCTCTTTACCAGATTTGGTGTGCCCAGGGTTTTGATCAGCGATAGAGGGACTCATTTCCACAATGACCCAATGGCTAGAATTTTGGCCAAATATGGAGTCCAACATCGAAGCGGAGTAGCGTACCACCCCCAGACTCAGGGACAAGTGGAAAACGCTAACAGGGATTTGAAGTCCATTCTGGAGAAAACTGTTGCCCAGACCAGAAAAGACTGGTCAACTAAACTTGACGACGCTCTTTGGGCATTTCGGACTGCTTACAAAACCCCGATCGGAACCACACCTTTTCGCCTTGTATACGGGAAGTCTTGCCACTTACCCGTCGAACTCGAGCATAAAGCACTTTGGGCGATGAAAAATGTCTGTTTTAAACTGGATACTGCAGGGAAGGAACGATTTTACCAGCTGAATGAACTGGAAGAGTGGAGAGCGCAAGCTTTTCATAATTCCAAACTTTACAAGGAACGGGCCAAACTCTACCATGATCAACACATCAAGGCTCGTGATTTCAATGCTGGAGATAAGGTGTTATTATTCAACTCACGGTTAAAGCTTTTTCCAGGAAAGCTTAAATCAAGATGGTCCGGACCGTTCAAGGTCATAAAAGCTTACCCCTACGGAACCGTTGAGATTGAAGATGCTAATGGGGGTCCCTTTAAAGTCAACGGCCACCAACTTAAACTCTACCATGGCGGCCCAATTGAAAAAAGCAAGGAGATTCTCTATCTCCAAAAATTTTGAACCGAAGGAGGACATTCGTCAAGCTAGTGACGTTAAAGAAGCGCTCATTGGGAGGCAACCCAACCAAAAAAAAAAAAAAAAAAAACTAACCCAAAAATATTTTACTTTGTTTATTTCTTGCAGATGTCTGGAGGAAGACGTGACGATCCCATTTTCGAGGAGCCACCACTAGGACGGGAAGACCCGCCGCCACAGCCTGATATCCCCTTTGCTACTATTGCTGATCGCAGACGCTTCCAGGCATGGGGGCAATACCGCACACTCCTTCCTCCCATGATCCTGGACCCGACGATGCTAGAGGAATGGGGGTACTGGGATGACATTGATGCCCTGCTAGGAGACTCTTTATGGCGGAGGATTCTATTCGTTCAGGAGAGGGCCAGCCTTCCATTGACGATGGAGTTTCTGTGCTCCGTTCAGTTCACTCATTACGGACAGGCTGTGCAGGAGGGTGCTGTTATTGGGTCAGAGTCTCGGATGAGGTTTACTATTCTAGGCATGGAGCACTCCATCACTGTGGCTGAGCTCGGATGGAGGATGGGGCTCTATACCCCAGCATACACACAGACTGAGGAGTTCCGTGCTCTTCCGACCCGCTTACCCGAGGCATTTGACATTGATGAGTTCTGGCACAGACACTCCACAGACACCAGATCATTTCTCCGGATGCACCCCCATTCGAACAAATGGAGGGAGACTCACTGGTACATACTCTCGTTCGTACTTTCTTGTGGTTTTTTTTGGACGACCTAACAACACAAACAGGTTGTCCAAAAAGGACATACTATTCTTTTGGAGTTTGATTCACCGCATCCCGGTGAATATGGCTGTCCTTATGGCTCGTTTCTTCCGGAGCCAGGGGAAGACTGTGCGGCGCACTATCCAGGCAGGGCCTTTCATCACTACTCTCGTTAGATCATTCTACCCAGATCTAGACATTCCAGGACTAGTGCACTTACAGGATAGCATCCGCGTTCTTCGATCCTCATCCTTTACCAACATGAGGATCAAGAAGAAGCGGAACACTCAGGAGCTCCCAGGTATTGAGCAGCCGACCCAGCAGAGTAGTTCTTCTCGACCCTCAGGACATGAGGGATCTAGCGAGCCCTTTTCATACATGCCTAGCGCCGCAGATTGGAGAGCGATGATGGATGGGATGAGGAGTCTACAAACCTCAGTCTCAGAGATGCGGGTTGCACAGGACAGAGGATTCCAGGAGATGCGAGATGCGCATGAGACGGCCCTGGGAGAGTTCAGAGACTTTCGATTAGCTCAGGAGAGAGCCACCCGGGATATGCAGGCGGAGCTAGAGACCCAGAGGCTAGATATTGATGAGATGAGAGATTGGCTTAGGCCACACTATGGCCCCCAGGATGGCGCAGGCGATGTTTAGATTTGCTTCTTCCTTAACATTTTTATCATGTTTGTTTGTTCTTCAGGTTGGACATTGCGCTGCTCTTTTGACTTGAATGCTCTTACAAACTGACTATGGATGATGTAAGGATTTTAAAAAAAACCATTTTACTCCTGTTTCATTATTCCTCTTCACAAAATCTTTTCAAAACTCAAGTGTGAGGAAAGAACCAAAAAAAAAAAATGTGCCTTTATTTCCCAATTTTGTTCCTCAAAAGAAGACCTCGAGGGCGAGGTCTAGCTCAAGTGTGAGGAGGTTGTGTTTTACACTCAAAAGCTAAAACCTTATTTTAGAACAATCTTTTTACTATTTTTTTTATATGAAACATTAATTTCTCAATTTGTTATCAATCTCATAAATAGCTTAGATAATCACCCTTATTATAAGAATTTACTTTTTTTATTATTTTTGAAAACTTGAAATTGTTATGGGTTTTTGGTTGCGAATGTAAAGGTCTGAATTTGTTTTAATTGGACATTCATTTTATTCATTAAAAAAAAAAATGTTACTATTTATAAACCTCTTCAAAACTCATTGTTATAGGACAATTCCATCTCCGAAAAGGGGCTCTGTTTCATTCGTTAATCACAGTCTGTGAGAATGAAATATGCATTTACCATGGGATAACACCGCCAACAAGAGTGAAAAAGAGCAAAAAAAAAAAAATAATAATAAAAAAATGGTGAACAAGATGAATGTCCAAATTAGAATAATGAAAAACCTTGGGATAAGGAATTGATTGGTGGTTTAACATAATAAATAGTTTTTCTTAAGTAATACTAATTTTAAATTCTTGTATTTTGGGTGATTTTTCTAAAATGTTTAAAAATTGAGAATAAAAGATGAGGTTTTTGTTTCTACTTCTTTAAAATAGCAATTAGATTGTAATACAGTTAGACTTTACCTTTTGAGTGTGTTTACAACTAATTCGTCGCTTGAGGACAAGCAACGCTTAAGTGTGAGGAGATTGATAAGTCCATTTTTGTACTTATTTTTCTTATCAAATTTAAGCGATTTTTGAATGAAAATAGAAAGAAAAGACACATTTTATATATTTTGGTTCAAGTTTCATGAAATCAGGTAAAAATCACATCCATAATATGTTTAGCGGGATTTCGGGTCAATTGAGCACAAAATGAGTCAATTTGAGTGACAAATGCATTTATACCGGAAGAAGCAAGCATTTTATCAAGGTGATTCAGAAGACAAAAATGAAGAGCAGGAAAAGCCGCATCTGCCAGACAAAAATGGCAGAAGGCGCCCAAATAGGCGCCCAAAATGGAGGCCTTCGCGGCCGCCTACGGGAAAAATCAGAAGTCAACCTCGCTTTGACTCGGGACCAGGAAAAGACCGAAGGCTACCGACACTGGACAGAAGGCGGCCGCCTGCGGCACAAGGGGACGAAACCAACCACCGGTCAGCCAGACAGGACGGCAGGCGGCCAGACAGGACGGCAGGCGGCCGCCTGCTGGACCGCCTGCGGCGGCCGGGATCCGCCGGGATCCGTCGGGATCCGATCTGCCCATGAAAAGACGGCAGGCGGCCGACGTGTGGCGGAAGGCGGCCGCCCTCTGTGGCCGCCTACGGCTGACGGGGACCGGCCACCGACCGCTGTCGGCGACGAAGACGGCAGGCGGCCGGAGAGAGGCGGAAGGCGGCCGCCTGGTTGGCCGCCTTCGGGGAAATTGCTCCTATAAATAGCCCGATTTTTCCTCAACTCAAACACACTTCTTCCAACCCTAAATCAGTTCAAAACACCTTCTTTCTTCCTCCATTTTCGAGCTCCAAAGGTCTTAGAGAGAGAGAAACTTCAAATCTTCATATCTTCTTCATTTTAGCTCCAAATTGTAAGTTCTTTATATGTATTTTCATCTTCTCAACGAGTAGAATCTGAATCTGCACTTTGTTTGTTCAATCTGTTCTTCGAAAATTTCCAGATTATTTTTCAAGTATTTCGCATTTCCTTCCAAAAATTAAATAAAATAGTTATTGTTGTTGAATTCATTCCAATTAATTATATAGTTGTTCACTAGCCTCAAGGTAGTTAGTTATCTGAAGAAATTAATTTTTCACGAAGTAGAAGTAATTTTTAATTAATTTCGGTAATTACTTGATATTATTGCTTAAATTTAAATAAATACTCAAAAAAAGGAAAAAAAATTAGTTCGGCCTTAATTTCAGTTTGATTCATAGTAATATCACTCCCAGTAGCTAAAATAAAATTTATAACGAAGTTAGCATATTTTTAGTTGCTTTTTGCATTTTCTAGTTAAAATTGGGAAAATTATCAATTAGTTGTCAAAAATTGGATTTTAGGTTCAAAAATTGGTGAAAAATTCCAGAAAGTTATATTTTAGTTCCTACAAGTTTATTGTTCCATAATATAATTTTTGTTTAATTTTTGCTATCATACATGTTTAATTCCTTGTTAATGTTGAATTTAATCATTATATTGTTAATTGCAAAAATGGTGATGAGTAGCTAAATTTGTTAGGGCGTGAATTGAGAAAAGGAATATGGATTGACTTGCTGACCTAAAATTAGGGGTTAAAATTAATAAATTGGACTAGTTGTTTGAAATGATGAAATAGTAATTAATAATAGTTAGCCATTTTCATTAATTAAATTCTTGGAAAATTAATTCTAACTTGTCTATGAGATTAGAAATTAATTTAAGCCAACCATATTTGAGCACATTAATAAGGCCTAGAAATAGGATAATTTAATGAAAAGGATTTACATCTTGTCTATGAGAAATAAATTCAATTGCTAAAATAAAGAGTTTAACTAGTTAATGAATTTGGCTATTTTTATTAATTAAAATATTGGAAAATTATTTCTACCTTGTCTATGGGTTTAGAAAATAATTTAATCCAACCATTTTAAACACATTAATGACACCTAGAAATAGGATAAATTAATGAAGATAGTTTCTATTCTTGTCTATGAGGAAAGAAATTATTAGTCAAATTTTAGTTTTAATTTCCCTAATTAAGAGGTCCAAGAACATATCCATTTCTAATTACTCAATTCATTACCCTTATTTGCATCCTTGAATATTCAATATTTATACATTAATCTTTAAATTGCACCTTGCTCCTAGTTATAATTTAGCGTAATATAGAACAAAATCACTTTCCTATATTGAAAAAGCTTCCAACAATTAGCGATAGCCCGTGACTAAAATTAAATTAAGAAACTTCTCCGCCATTCCTCAAGAGACACGACACTCGGGGAAAAACCGAAAGGTTAGACTCCGTTTTACTACAACACCGCGAAAGCGGTTATCATGTAGTTGTAAACATTTGTTTACTTTTTATTTGTAAGTGTTTTTAGCTTTTATTTGTGGGTTAGAAAGTTTTGATAGAATTGTTGGCAAGGAAAAGGAAGAAAAACAAGGAGAATGCTGCCCAGGAGTATAAACCCGACCGGGTAGAAACCTTCACCCGGTCGGGTTTGAATTAACGTTTGCTATCTCCAGGAAATTGCTTGGCCCGGTCGGGCTCTATACCTCACCCGGTCGGGTGAGACTTGACCGAAGACAACCCGACGTGCTGAAGAACACTAGAACGTGGAAAATATTTGATTCGGACCGGTACCCGGTCGGGTAGATACTCTACCCGGTCGGGTACTCGGCCAAAGGTGTTGAAAAACACCTATAAATAGCACACTTTTCCTTCACTAAAAAGAATCCCTTCTTCCATACTCTTAAGCTCAGTTTAGAATAGTATTTCTTTTATATTTTTATAGCATGTTTAGTCTCCAAATGAGGAGCTAAACTCTTCCATCTTGGTTTTGCTACTTTGAAGCTTAATGAATTTGTAAGTTGTGAGTTATTATCTTTAATCTTCTTCCTTGAATATTAATTCTCCTTTTAAATACTATTTCTATATCAATGTTGGAGAGTGTTACTAAGATGACAATTAGTTAACATCTTGACATTAGTTATAGTAATAGTTATTTCTTCCTCTACGTTAATATCGAGGAGTGTTACTAAGATGACAATTAGTTAACATCTTGATATTAACTATAGTAAGATTCATCTTCTTTAATATTCTTTCTTGAGTATTAATTAATTCCTATTCATATTTCATATTAATATTTTGAACATTACTTAAAGGATCAACTAGTTTTGTTTCATATATTAATTAATACTAGAATCGGTCGATTAATACGCTTGTTATTAATTCGGACCTTCCATGGTAGTAAACTTGGATTATTAATGCATGCATCTCATGGTTAATAATCTAAGGGGACTTAATTATATTGATTAAACCAATAAACCGCTTGTGTTGAGGTTATCAATCTCAATCGTTTTCATCTTAAGTTTATTGCTACTATCAAGTTAATATACGGCGCTTGTTCTATATTGACTCGATAGTAAGTTTTATTAATGAACGCTTCTCGTTATTAATAACTACCCTCGATGAACTGGATATACTCCTCGATTGAGTATTCGAGAGGAAGATAGTTAAAGATATAACCGGGATCGACGAACATTTCATTAAGTGGATAAAAGCAAAGCCAAGTCTTCTTCTTATTAATTAAACCACATAACTCTTTCATCTTCATGTTTAAAAGATAATTTAAGTTTATCAACCAAACATAAAACCCCCCCTGTTATTACTTATTCATTTCTATAAAAAGAGAAGCGTTCCTTTCCCTGTGGATACGAACCTTACTACACTATACTACGTATTAGTGTCGTATTGTATTATTATTTTGAGTGCACATCACGACAAAGTGCACGTCACTAATGTATTAAAATAAAATGTAATATATCATTTTTTATTTCCAGAAAAGTTGTATTGTATTTTTACCATATTGTTAAAAGTTTGAGCATATTTATTCTAAAAAAGGCACCCCATCTGGAAGCATGTGGTTGTCGATCACATCGTCAATGTTATTTTTTAGGTAAAAGCAGTAGATGTAGTAGTGCACGTGCTTGTGAATATGAAACAATATCTGCAGTATACGTAAGTCATAAGTAATTCATCTGTGTATTTTGCACACTGAACTCAGTTACATAAAACAATACAGAATGTACATAACTCATATAAGCACTTACATCATTCAACACCTGAAGTTACGCGGTATGCTACACACTTTGCATATCTCTTATTATTTAATCCTTAAACTTAAAAAGCTTGATATATGTAGTTGCAATTTTTAACAATATACATATAAGAATTACCAAGTGTGACTTATTTTGTTGTAGTTTTTATATTTATATATTCACATATATAGTTTGAAATGCTAATGACATTTACAATATCAAGTTGCTTAACATGTGCTCCTGCTTCATTCATTTCCTTTTCCAATCTTTCAACCATGTTTTCAATTGGGTCACCAGAGGTAAAATCAAACTGTGCCTGAACATTCAAATTGATTAAATTCAATCAGAATATAGAAACTGAAGTTCACTACTTTAATTTTCAAATTTACAAGAAAAACTATCCATACATAGACTATGGTTGAAGCTATGAATGCACGCTTTGGAGTATTGTTTGACTTTTCTTTGTCATTCAAAATTCTTACCCATGCGTCTATAATAGAGTTGTCTACAATTTGATCTTCAAGGGTTTGCAACTCCTCATGAGTTATAAACACACCTCCTTCATCTTGGTAGACACAATCACTAATAGAATAATATTTTTCAAACCAATATAAACTATTAATATAATGACGAAATAATATTCCTATTGAAACAATAAATTATATAATACCAGACTTTCTTCGGAACTTCTTTTGAAAAGGCATAGTCAAGTACAATTTTTTCTTCCCTGTTCAGATCCTTACACAATCTTCTGTTGTTCTTCACAAATGGGAATCTGTAATTCACACATTCTTCACCTAACTTTTTAAGCCTCTTTCTTCTATATGCCTTTACCTCATCATTACTTTGAAAAAAACAACATAGTGTTAAGTTGATTTGATTAATTAAAAATATTAATGAATTACGTAAGAAACAAATAACACTTACCATTGATTGTTATCAGCTTCATTCTTTGCTTCACCATCAGCAGTAGTCTTGTAATCTCCAGGCACCCCAACCTCTATATTCATTCTTTATCAGCATTATTTTGATTCACTTCAGGAGTATTGATTTTCTCTCCTTCATTTACTCCTGCAGTGACATCGTCTTCATTGTTTTCACCTTCTACTGCTCTTGCGATCTCTGCGGTCTGTTCATCAATTATCTGATCATCAGCCTGCTTCTGATTCTTTGGATTGGCATTTGCTTCAGGTTGAGACATGGTAAACTCAATTCCCAAATCAAATGAAGGCATTGAGAATTTGAGTTGTGCAACTTTCTCAAGCTTTGTAAGTGTTTCCATTACCACAAGTTCATTGAAGAAATCATCATCTTCTTCCAATGTGCACTTCTCAAACAATCTCTGATTCTCAGTGGCTTGCTCTTTGCCGTTAGCTTGCTTGATGAAGTAATCAGCAGTCGTCAGGTATATCTTTTTCAAGATATCCGAGTTTGGGAATCTTTTTGAAATTGTCGATGGCAACTTTGAAAATTCAACAAAAGCATCACTAAACTTTTGTGCCACAACTATAATCTCCTTCACACAATCCTATAAAAATTATAGTATTAGTTGTTTAATAATACATAAGATACATAGTTATTGAATTAAGTTACATAAAAGAGCTTTTAACATTACAGACTCCTTCGCAAAATCCTATAGTTATGTAACAATTGATTTAAGTTACATAAAATAGTCTTTAAGATCACAAAGTGTTGTATTAAAATTTACCTCCTTTGACAACATTTCAGCATCTTCATTTTCTTCATCTTTTTTTCCTCCTTTTTCTTCATCTTCGTCTTCATATTCCACTGTTATTATTCGCTTTGTCACCTTCCCCAGACCAAAGCCCACCTTTCTCTCATCTTTGACTCTCTTGTCAATTCTCTCCTTGTCCCAGATTCTAATTGTTGGGTAAGCAGTCTGCATAATTTGGCCTTTGAATTGTACTCGGTCAAAGTAACATATTATTAGAAACAATAATGGTCCACTAAACATCTTTGATTGATTAGCTTGTGATAGAGTTGTATTTTTATTATTTATTATTTCTATTTTAACTAGTTTTATTTGGTGTTGTTTGGAAAATTACACACTTTTGGTGTAATTAGTTTATTTTCCTATATAAATGTAATTTGTTTAGATTAGGATTATTCTGAGCTTAAAACAGGTCAAGATCATCCAAAGGATCAAGATTGGACCCCAAAAGATCAAGGAAAGTGCAAGGGGACAAGATAAAAAGAAGATTGAGAAAATATTTCATATACCCGGTCGGGTATAGGCAATACCCGATCGGGTATTGAGTTGATTCGGGTGTCAAAATCAGAATCTAGAGAGATCTGGAGAGACAAAAAAACGTGCAGGATTTTGAAGATTTGGCTCATACCCGATCGGGTATGCCTTCATACCCGAAGGGTATGTCTAGAAAAGTGACTTTCCGGGAAACTGCCTAAAATACCGGATCGAGTACCCTATATACCCGGTCGGGTACACCACCCTGCTACCTCCAAACACCTATAAATACACCCCTTTTCCTTCACAATAAGATCACTCCTTCTTCCATACTCTTAAGCTCAGTTTAGAATAGTATTTTTTTTATATTTTTATAGCATGTTTAGTCTCCAAATGAGGAGCTAAACTTCCATTTCTTGGTGTTGCTCTTGAAGCTTGTTGATTATTAAAGTTGTGAGTTATTTTCTTAACTTCTTTCCTTGAATATTAATGCTTCTCTTAAATACTATTTCTATATCAATGTTGGGGAGTGTTGCTAAGATGACAATTAGTTAACATCTTGACATTGGTCTTAGTAATAGCTATTCCTTCCTCTATGTTAATATTGGGGAGTGTTACTAAGATGATAATTAGTTAACATCTTGATATCAACTATAGTAGGATTCATTTTCCTTAATATTCTTCCTTGAGTATTAATTAATTCCTATTCATATTTCATATTAATATTTTTGAACATTACTTAAAGGATCAACTAGTTTTGTTTCAAATATTAATTATTACTAGAAACGATCAATGAACCGATGGTTAATCGTTGATGGTTTCACAAGTAAGTAACTTCGGTTTATTAATGCACGGTCGTGGTTAGTAAACTTAAGAGGGATTAATTTTGTTGGTTAAACCGAAACCGTTGTGTTGAGGTTATCGATCTCAATTGATTTCATCAAGGCGTTAAGAGATTAAATGCTACTATCAAGTAGGTATATGGCGTTGTTCTATACTTGACTAATAGTAAGGGTTATTAATGAACGGTCGTTGTTAATAACTTTCCTCGATGAATTGGATATACTCCTCGATTGAGTATTCGAGAGGAGATAAGTTATAGATATAACAATGATCGACTGAAATATATCAACAAGTGGAAAGTAGCAATGCCAAGTCCTTTTTATCTTTGAATTAAATCACATATAACTCGTTCATCTTCGTGTTTAATTTAATTAAATCATTCAACCCAAAACCCCCCTTTATTTACTCCTTTCGTTAAAAAGATAAATTATTCCTTTCCCTGTGGATACGAACTCTACTTCACCTATACTACGTATAAGTGTTAGTATTGAATTTATTTTGAGTGCACTCACGACAAAGTGCACGTCAGCTTGCCATTCCTCGCCTGCATCCATCAACGATCTTCTTGTGTAGTTGCACCAGTTCATGTTTGGTATATCAGCTACATTCACCAAAGACAACAATATTTTAAAATTGCTCCTGACACTCTGGTTTCCTTTGATAAAGTAAGAGACTGTAAAGACCACAAAGTTTCTGATGAATCGGTCTCCAGAACCAGTATCTGCAACTATTTTTTCAATCATTTTTATGTTTGAGGGCTTCCTTTATCAATCCCCCATTCTTCTCTCCATTTTTGCAGCAGTTGGGTATACTCTTCAGTTTCATTCTTTGCATTCGCTTCTTGAACTTCAATCTTTCCTTTTGGCAGACCAAATACAGTTTTGACATCTTCATCTTCAATATCTAGCAGCTCATCGTTGGCAAGTTGTAGTTGTCCTGAAATTGGTCTAAAGTTCTTCAATAGAAACTCAACCAAATCTCCATAAAATATGTCAAAGTTTAAATGCAGTAATCCCTCAAACCTAATCCTTTCAACTGCTGCTTTTTTGTTGTCATCTAACAGTTTAATCAACTTCATGAAAGGGGCTGCTCCTACTCTTGTTCTGAGATTTACAGGAGGCGGCCTATTGCTTCTCTCTACTTCTTCACATTCATCGTCCGATTCTTCAGATTCTTCTTTCTGCTTTTTTGGGGCTACTTTTCTTTTTTTGCTTGTTGTTGGCTGATGATATTCTAACCTTAGAATTGATTCTTCTGTGTTCACTATCTTTGCAGTTTCATTCTGGTGTTCTGTTTCATGAGTTTCATTTTCAGGAGCTCCAGCACTTCTTGTATTCCTTATATTATACAAATATGACATTGGAGCACATGAGTTACGTACATACTGTCACACACAATTTACATAACAGTGAAATGAAGTTACATCATTGACAATCAGATGAAAATGAAATGTGGAGCACATGAGTTACATATTGTCACACAAAATTTACATTATAGTGAAGTGAAGTTACATCATTGAGAATCAGACGAACAATGAAATGTGGAGCACATGAGCTACATATTGTCACACACAATTTACATAACAGTGAAGTGAAGTTACATCATTGACAATCAGATGAACAATGAAATGTGGAGCACATGAGTTACATACTGTCACACACAATTTACATAACAGTGAAGTGAAGTTACATAATTGACAATCAGATGAACAATGAAATGTGGAGCACATGAGTTACATACTGTCACACACAATTTACATAACAGTGAAGTGAAGTTACATCATTGACAATCAGATGAACAATGAAATGTGGACTTAGTTACAGTCGCTAAACAAGGCAGAGGATTTAGGTATTATTATAAGCAAGTTACAAAATTATAAGTAAAGTTAATCTGGTATTAGTTTCAGTGAAATGCAACACTATATTACAAAAAAAAATTCAAGTGACATACTAAGAGGGAAGATTCTACTAAGAGGCATAACAAACATATTCAGCCATGCAACACTATATTACATAAATCAAAGCACTTAGAATATGTAATCTGAATTTCGAAACATAAGCAGTTACAGATTATGAAACGAACATTTAGAGATGGCAATTGTGACCGATCCAATGGATACCCGCACCGAACCACCCCGGTCAAAACGGGGAAAACCGCATTGACCGGGTAACGGGTATGGGGCGGGGAATACCCGTTATGTCTTTACAGGTAATGGGGCGGTTACGGTTTTATACATGCCCGCCCCATTACCTGCCCCGTACCCGCCCCGTTTATTTTAGTTATATTGTTATTACATTTTTATCTATTATTTGTCCCATGAGTAATAGAAGATGAGATTTTTCTATTTTCATTGAGTATATGGATAATAGATGTACTAACTATAATGTTTCAATGAGAGTTCATAATAGATCTTAATAGTCTTGTTTGATTATTATCAGATTTTTAGTGAATAATTATTTTTTCAAATTAAGTTTTTTAGGTTCAAATTAATTTATGTTGTCTTCTTTCTCGTCTTGTAGATATACAAAACTCTAAAGGGGCGTCTCAGTCTAGAGTCATCTAGGTGATGCCATTTTTCGCCTTTTAAAATATTATTTTTATATTAAAATATCAATGACTCATTTAATAAAGCGATTACCCGCGATTACCCGCGGTTATACCCGTTACCCGTTGGGGCGGATAAGGTTTGGGTAAAAATTACCCATTGGGTAATGGGGCGGTTATGGGGCGGGGAATTATCAAATGGGGCAGGTGCGGTTATATGTAAAACCATCCCCAAACCACCCAGTTGCCATCCCTACGAACATTGCTTTATCCACAACTTCAATGCTACATGCATTTTGATATTTAAAGTAGAAGAGCAATCACATTGTTTAATAGTTCAATTTATGGTTATAGTTGATACCTGACAACAGATTTGCTTCTAGACCTAACCATCTTCAATCTGTACACCGATACCGTAGAAACCTGCCGTCGATGGTGTTAATCGCTCACTTAATCTGTTGTTTTCCTTCAAGGAGAGGTGGAAGTGGAGAGGTGGAAGTTAGCGATGAGTACGTTTATGAGTACTTGCTTCGTAGAGATTTTGCAAGAGCTCAGTAGAGAGAAGAAACTGTATTTTTTTTTTGAAAAGGCGCAAATGAAACATCAGGAGATGGAGAGTTTTTTTATTTTCGAAAATAAGCAAATGAACACCTGAGAGAATAACCGCTGGAGGGAAAAGGTGGAAGAGTGGGACAGTTGGATTTCGTGCGCGTGTTTTTTAATTAAATGTAAATGGTGTCGTTTTGGAGCCGGATGTAGGATGCCCAACGTGGGTCGGTACCACAGTATAGCGACTAATTATTAATGTAGTGACATCAGTTTCTTTATTTTGAGATCGTTTGGTAACACTATTTTTCAGTTTATCAGACTTATCATCCAACTTTTTCACCAAACACGTAACTTTTGCTTTCACGCACTGAATTGTGTAATAAGCAGAAAAAGTAAGGTTGAAGTTACTTTTCTGGCTGTATTGGCTCAAGTTACTGCAAATGATATTTTAGCTATATTTACATATAATTTTTTCTTTATTTTATTAATAAAATATATTTTAATTTTTTCTCCCTTAAATCAGCAGAATCAGCCAATGCAGCCAATGCAGCCAATGCAGTCACTTCAGCCGGAACTTCATAAATTTCAGCAGAATAAGCCAAATCAGCCGATTTTTGTGCTGCCAAATTTGAAAAAAAATGTCATGTTTAAAGCCTAGTAGTTCCAAACTTGGCGGAAATTTACTCCTGTTCAGGGAATAAAAAACATGATAATCCTATTTTGGAATTTCAATACGTTTTACTCTCACTAATTTCTCGGATTTTTTTTATAAAATACTCTCACTTTTATTACTTTTACTCCACTAACTTTTTACAAACTACTTTCTATTAAATGTCCTTATTTTTTGATAACATACATTTTCATCACCCATGCATAGAATCAGGGGCCAGCCTTGACAAAGAAGAGACCCTGTGCAAGAGTGAAAATTGGGCCATTTATTTACACAAGTAAAAGTATAATATATTGTGCAATATACTCCCCCCGTCCCGGAAATTTGTGCAGAAGAGGGAGAATTAACTTTAACCACATATTCCTTACTTTAAATGAAAATGACAAATCTTTTTGGGACAAACAAAAAAGAAAATTTGGCAAACCTTTTCGGGACGGAGGGAGTATTAATTATAAATTACTACTCCGTATTACTTTACGTAAAATTAAAAATTATTAATTAAAAAAGCAGTCAAAATAAAAGTATTATATTTGTTAACAAAATACACTTCGTGATCATTTTAAAAGAGATACTCTTTGAGCATATTTTCAATGAATTATAATCAATGTTCTAAAAGGCGTAAAGGCAGACGTTTTGATTTTTTACCTTCTTTTAATTTTTCTAGCGGTATTGTTTATATGAAAGTGTAATGCTAAATATTATCTTACAAAAACATCAATTTTTTCTCAATTAATTTCCAAGAAAATTAGATATCCCGATCCTAAATATAAAA